CCGCCCCTCACGACAGAAATATTGGAGTTCGGAGAACCATTGACAAGAACTATTGGTCGATGTTGGACAGAAGAAATACTTGGAGGAATTCAAGGTATCTTTCAAGTCAAGACTGTTGAATCGTGACCGTTTGGACAAAACTGTTGTTAGTGTGCGCCGGGAAATTATGGAATATACGTGGTGATAAATGTGCTAACCAGGTATACGAGTCTACATATTTCAAATTGATCATTTTATTTGTAGAAATCGAATCGAGAATAGCTTTATATTTTGTATCTTTACTGGCATGTCCAAAGATGGTAGATCTATGTATAAATAAACTACACATTATCGACATTATGACTTCTTTTTTTTTTTATAAGTTAATTTATAGTCGCTTTTAGAATGACGAGACTTGTCGTGTTTGTCCTTCTGGCGCACAAATGTGAAAAATGGGAAAAATTTAAGCAAACTGTTATGAGGTTTCAGTTTTCATATATTTTATTTGGAATTCCCTTGTCAAAAGGTGTTGGTTCTGGCTCAAAGATTGTTTCATAGGGATGTTACATGTCAATGTAAGTCAACATAGTTTCCATTCTGACATTTTCAACGAAATAAACTGTATATGGGTATGTGTTCATTGTGGTATTGTGGTATTGAACTTAACGTCTTTGTAATACCATTTGGTAGTTTTTTGGTTGTTTCGTTGCAAGTAAAGAGACACTTCGAGAAGTTGTGCCATGTGCGAGTTCGCCACGCGGTTTACTCGAATTAGATTCGTTCGCGCAGTAATTGTCAGCTGACCGAAGGCTAACTCTTATATACCACTTCAGTTGTGCAAAGTTGTTTCACAAACGACTGGCGTTTTTGCAACAACATATCAGATCGAATGTAATGATTTTTTTAATCCTGTGACTTTTGTTACATTGACTGGTATAGGGCAAATCTGTCTGCCAAGGTTTAGATGTCACCCAAGTTCACTTTTACACCAAAAGCTGATGAAATGCATCAAGAAGCCATTCGAAGTGTATTCAATTACTCGGGATGGGATTACGATGGCGACGTTTCGTCGTGTTTGGCCAGTGACACTTCTCTCACTCTCTCGTTCTTTAGTTATTCAAGATTTTCGGTCACCCATAACTCGCTGACCGATCATCGCAACGTCTGTCAAACAGTAAGATCTCGCAAAATACCGCGCTACTTATAGTCCGGATGAGACTCGAAGCGTTAAGGCCACCACCAAGCATTAAACGCTGAGTTTAGGGGTCGATCATTTGGTGGAAGTGTGGTACAGGATCCCAAGGCAGTTGTCAGGTAGTTGTCATGGTCACGGGGGTTACAATCACTCACCGTGTCGCGTCCGTGCTATAACATAGCTCCTAAACATCCAAGTCCTTCATTTCCATTCAAGTCATGTGATCTCTTAAGATTTTAGTACATTTCCATCACACACTGCATTTCTAATAATGTAGCTGGGGCATATTATAATACAATCATGTAGTCAGAACACTAGCACATGACAAAGAAACCTATCAACGTGTATCATGATGGGTGCCTTCATTGCGCAGCTGACAGTCTTCCCTGTAACACCATACGGACGCGAGCACCACGCAATAACACATAAGTATCCACGTGACAACACCTGGCCCACTGAACTGATGTCTTGTCAGGATGGACAACTGGACCGTTTAATGTTACTTCGTTTTGTTCATAGACATGTGGGGCGATCGGGTAGCCTAGTGGGTAAAGCGTTCGCTCGTCACGCCGAAGACCCGGGATCGATTCCCGACATGGGTACAATGTGTGAAGCCCATTTCTGGTGTCCCCCGCCGTGATATTACTGGAATATTGCTAAAAACGGCGTAAAAACGGCGTAAAAACCATACTCACTCACTCACTCACTCACTCATATACATGTATATATTTTGTCACAGGAACCGATTGAATTGTACATTAACATCAACAATATGTGTGTGAAATGCGGGACGTGTTTTTTTGGTCGATAGATATATACTTTTCGGGAGTTCTGTTTCAATTGGTGTTTTAAGTTCATTGATCAGTTCAGCTATGTGACGGTAATGTACACATGTGCCTTCATTGCGAGCAAAATAAATTTCTTACATTTTTCACATTTGTAGTGTATATATACATACATATTTGACAACGTACGTTTACAGTAACTGTTTATACGGTATAGCATTTCTCAACAATGTTTGAAAGTAGAGGGACTCATTACTGAGCCACCTTTCCCCTGACTCTTTTGTACTTTTTCGACAATAAAATATCTTTAAGTCATGAGTGTTTTTCTTTAGTGGCTATCCGTTGTTATACCATGGAGATGGCACAAAGTAACCAATGGAGTGACACATGCACAAACCGCCTGTAAATACACGTATTCCGTGTTCTCAAAAACATTTCGTTCTTGAAAAATAACTACATTCTATCATATCCTGGTGTAACAATAAGACCATAGTTATCAGTTACATTCGGGTTTTACGACTGTATGTGTATAATGCTATTTCATAAAACAGGAAGAATATGTAAAATGTTGAAGGAACGCCGATAAGATAAATATCACGACCTATTCAGTTTCAATTGGGAGAAGTATCAAGAACTCAGCTAATAACAATTTCTATCAATGTATCCTTCGTTGACTGTTCTAATGTTTACACATACATTCCACTCGCAATTTTTACCTCTACTCTATGGACCTAAGGCCTCTCAATTCGTAAATGAACATATACATTGTGTCATAGCGACTGATAAAACGACAACCATTGTCTGAAGAACATTTTACCCAATTACCCAATTACCCTGTAGCCATGACATGTGCATGTCTCATTAACTTAATTGTCATTATGTATTAGGCGCTAATCCCGTTGTTAATCCTCACCACCATTTCATTGTATTATTATTATTATTAACTTGGTATTTATATAGCGATAGTTTCCAGACTGACTGCTCAAAAGCGCTCATTGTATATTGACTGTTAGCCAACCTGGGCTACCATATAACTTCCCGTTAATTACTGTTCCACTCACAATTTTTACCTCTACTCTCTGGACCTAAAGCCTCTCAATTCGTAAATGAACATAAACATTGTACACAAAAAATATTCACATATCAAATAAGGTTGTAGCCGTGAACGAGTTGCAGTATTAGAGAAACACCACTGAAAATAGAATGCACGCTTAACACTCCAGATGATCAACTACTTGTGGATATGGAGAACATATACAATGACTTAAAACCTTTCGTAACTGTACAAAATTATACACGTTATTAAAACGTTTCAAGGCTCCAAACAGTCGCCGAAACATTGCAAACTTAAGATCCAAAACACAGCTGTGATCCCCTTATAAAATACATCACAAACAAATAACTATTTCTTGTTTGTTTCATTTTAGCTATACACAGGCTCGAATTTGTCAAGATTATAATTTTAATTGGACAAGAGACCAAATTAAATACATTTTTGTATATCTGAGGGGTATGAGTAATACTTGGTGTAAGCGCGTATGGCTCGTTCAAGTTTCGTTCATGTACATTACAGTAATTATTTTAACTTTGATAATACGTTATGAAACGACATGCTCCTTTCTTCTAACTTTGTTCTTACTCTCCCCGAAATATGGACAACGGCTCCAGTTGTATTACAATATCAATCAGTGAGCTAGATTTAGCACTGCGTTAAAAGGTGAATTCCGGCTGGTTAGCCTAACGAGAAAGGAATGACCGAAGGGTGGAATTTCGCTCAAAACGCCAGGGATATTGTGCTGACAGGCCAAAGATGTTACTCAGGGCGAATCTGGGATTCGAACTACAACCAGCTGAACCTGGAACAAATAAGGAACGCAACTCTTCACAGCAAATTGTGGCGCCTTGGACCTTTTCGTCCATATTGGTATATCAAGTACGAACGTCAGCGTTGTCTGAAATATATATGTAAACATAACCAAAGCTATACTTCATACTTGCAGGAACAAAGAGTTTAAAAATACTGACTTGGGATATCTAAAAAAATATCTATTAATTCCGTATTCCCCACAAACAATTAAGACACAATTTGATTTCAGGTTAAACAAAGCAGAGACTACAATCAAAGGTCGCAAGAATCTAATTTTCCTCCAACAAACAGTCTTTCCTCTATGAGTGGTTAGTGAGGAGTAATACCCCATATGTTCGCTGCCGTCCTGTTGGAACTGTGGGCCTGTTGAAACACCCATCAGAACCACGTGTCCCACCATCAACACAGCACATTACATACAACGACATGAAAAGTGACTGTTTCAAAAATCATATTTGTCATATTGTGAATTTTTAGACTGAATATCGGTCACGCTTTCCATTATGTCAAGGTACATTAAGTAATCGTTTTATTTACATGTGTACACAGTCGAAGAAAAACCTTCGAAAGTTTTACTTTTCAGTTATCAATAATAACTTTTGGATATACTAGTATATCATGAACATGAATCAGACATGCTAGAAGACACAACACAACCCCGGCTGCAATTTGTAAAACCTTAAACGAAAAGATTTGGGAAAACATTAGAAAAATACCACCCTTCTTCGCACATCTGTCTTTGGCAATCAACAAAAGGAAGGCACATTGTTCTTCCGGTTGTCTGTCGTCTCTAGACCAGGCACGCCTTCAGCCTTGTAGAACAAACTGTTACTTAACACGAGGTTATTACATAGTTACCACGTGATATTTTTGCTGATTATGAAATCTTACTCATATCAATATCTGTAGAGTAATGGTATGTCAATAGTGACCATCAGCGTCTGTGATATCAAATTCTGCAGATGGTACTGTTGGTATATATGTAATCGGATTGCCGGTGGGTGGTCACACAATTAGCACAAAATCTACGTGTCTGTATGCTATAACTTCCACAATGTCGGACGCTACCCCCACAGTATCGACGTTACTGAAAATCAATATGCACCTTTAATTTCTTGAAGCTCGGAGACTATATAAGTTTCAGCAATTGTCTGGAGGTACAGAGTACATCAAGATGTCTCCACGTGCAGTGATCAGCTTGCTGGTGGTTTGCCTCTGTCTGGCCTCCACAGAAGGACGAGCATTCAAAGTAAGTGTAGTACACGGCAACTTATCTAACGTTGTACCGAATGCCATGATTTACACATTAACTGTGTTACTGTCCTCTTCAGTACAACTGCAGTTGGTCGTCATTCAACTCATAGTTTACAACTCTTGGTGACAAACAACATTACGCCAGTTACAGAGCAAAACATACCACTCTGTCATGCAACGATAGATAATTGTAGAAATATAAAAGAATTGGATGTTACCTAACTTCTTTTGAGTAGAAAATCTAGGTTTCTATTGCAGAACGAGATACGTAATGTCATTGTTCACACTTATGTTATAAATGGTTTGTAAGTCGTGTTCGGCTAAAAAGATCTAGAATTCTGGGCTGTAAAAACTTTTAAAGCGATTTTTTACTGAGTGATATTTTGCAATGTCTTAAAAGCCTTTAAATATACAAACCATACTGTTATGGAGGCTTTACATATCCACAGTCAATATATTTTATTTTTCTCCAACAGAATGAGAAAGCACGGTTCAAGCGACAAGCTGGAAGTAGTAAGTTCACAGCTTTAACGGGTTATGAAATGAAAACGCAAGAAAACATGAAACGCCATCAGATATCCCGAACTGTTTGGACTTATAACATTGATCGAGTTTTGATAGATATGTTGGTACAAGAACCCTGAATGCAAAGAAGCTGAGGAAGCATTTGAAAATTTGGTCCAAAATCTATGTTAGCAGTTACAAAGCGTCATTAGTTTCAATGTGGTTATTTCACACTAACAAAACTGAAAATGAAAAAAGGATATGAATTTTAAATAATTTCAAGGTGTATATATTTCATTGAGTTTTGATCAATTAGTTCATAGTTTGAAGTCTGATGATATTTTGATGAATACAATATGTACCTCTATTAATACATCAAGTGTATATACATGAACGTGTTTATGATATCGTTCAACAGGGACCTATCATTCATGGGTATTTTAACTGATGATGGACCTTGCAGTTGAAAGAGAGGTACAACTAGAACTAAGATCTCCATGAAGACCAGCACATATTTTGATAAAATATATGTTCAGTCCGTACATGTATATTAAAATGTGTTCCCATAATCTTCCATGATGTTCAGGATGTGTTGGGGGCGTGAGGGAAGATCTCATTGGAGAGATAGAGTTTGGCTCTGGTCAATACCAAAACAACGAAGACTGCTGCTTCGAGCTCCGTCCTTACTTTGGCGGTTCTTTCACGGTCGATCTGGAGTTTAGTGTCTTTGACATTGAGCAAGGTCCTAGCTGCAGTTATGACTATGTTACCTATGGAACAAGTGACGGTATTACCGAGATCGACTGTGGCACGAAGGATTTCGGATACATTAGATCGTGTAAGGAAGAATATATTTTCTTTTGGTTTTCTTTTCTTCTTTTTGTTTTGCAAAGTGTTAGAATTCACAAGCTTGACGTACCTATGACTCCGTTGTCAACGCAACACATGGCGGCAGTATACCTCAAGGATATACAACAATATTCACATACTATTACCATAAACGTTTTATATTTATATGCTCAAAGTACTAATCCGTCAAATTATTTTTAAAATGGCCATATAAAAAAACTTGTTTATAAACTATTCGTAATTCCGATATAGAAACCTTATACAGACCTTCCGATCTACCTGTTTGGGATTTGCTGAAAGACTCACCATCGCAACAACACTTAATAGACATCTTGTATTATACTACAATCAGCAACTTACTTAATAATGAATGATTGTACCATGTTGGTTTTTCAGTCAACAGTACGGACACTTTCCAGTTGTGTTTCCATAGTGACACCTCTATCGTTGGTCATGGCATCAATGTCTTATATATCACTCTCCCAGGTGTGTACATACTGTGTTGGTTTAAGAACGCAAAACAAATTTCAACTTCCATCGTTTTTCTGTATGCAAAAGGTATGACGTCAAATTCCAATATATTCTAAATTTGTTTTCATGGATACAGTATCTGAAGAAAATAGTTCTCTGCCAGCCTTAAACTACAGCACCACTCCATCCTTGAACGTGACAGCCTCGCCTTCCCTGAACTACAGCACCGCTCCGTCCTTGAACGTGACAGCCTCGCCTTCCCTGAACTACAGCACCGCTCCGTCCTTGAACGTGACAGCCTCGCCTTCCCCGAACTACAGCACCACTCCGTCCTTGAACGTGACAAACTCGTCTTCACCGAATTTTACCTTTCCCTACAACAATGCAACATCTTCTCCCGAAACTACCGGAAATGAATCTCGTAAATATAGTTTCATAGTTGATTTTAAGGCTATATATGAAACAAGAAACTTTTCCCTTTTCTCTGAACTTTGTCTCATCGCAAATGAAGGCACAAATCGTGAAAACTACTCTTCCCGACCAGCTTTCGTCAGTGGGTTTAAGTAGTACGTTGAACCACGGAGCGGACAGGATAGCATTTGAATATTTATTTGAATAATAAATAAAACCTTTTCCATAACGATAAGTCCATTGTGAGATTCCGACCATATCATAAGCATGTGTTGATGAACCACTTCCAAATATTGAGGATAGTAGGTGTTAACGAACAGATGAGCGTAACCGACTGTCACCATCACATGCAAAGACAAGTCAATTGCTTACCTGAAATAAACAGGTACATATGATACAACTAAAAAAGGAATTGCATCATACATAATTTTTTTAGATATCCTACCATAAAACTTTTGAAAGTTTTACTGAGGCCATGACTGTATTAACCTTGTATTGTGAATACTGAATATTTATGCATATATCTAAATATCAAACAGATGTAGCGATTTCACTGGTATCTATTATTTCTGGCTCACGTGAGCAACTCAGTGGAAGGTAATTGGTTATTTGACAATTATTCAAAGATAAGAGATTATTCATATACCTGAAGCGTAAGTTATACTTTTTGGCCAAATTTCCTTGTTTTGATTTTGCCAATCCGAGCATAAATCCTTAGGTAATTAGGAGCACAACTGGTACCCATGGGGATGCCTATTTCTTGTCTACATTTCATACAGATATGATATACATGTATGAGGAAGTCCAACATTGAGACAGGGATTCGGTTATGCATTTCCCTAGGCCATGCTATATTTCCCTCTTTGTACGGAATTTTATGAATACATGAGACTTATTTCGAGTAATTTACGATATGACTGTATTCTGAATTGACGAGATGTCGTCGGCCACTTTCAAGAAATTGAATGACAACCTAAAAACATACAAGCTGCAAGACTATTCTGCTGTCTTCCCCTGATAGAAGCCTATCTTTGTGTCTTAGGGGGTGTTCCCAGGAGCCATCGCAACTGCACCTTCTCTACCCGGGCTGACCATGGCATGATCCAGAGCCTGCCTGGTACAGGGGAGGACTACCAGAACAACCTCAACTGCAGCTACGTCTTCAATGTGCCCAGGAACAGCAGTATTCACTTCAACTTCACCACCTTCGACCTCGAGGGCGGTAATGGATGTCCCTACGATTATGTTCAGATCAATGGTGGACGAAGATGGTGTGGAAGTACCATTAACGGGAGGCAAGGTAAGCTCATAGAAGTGGTCAATATCAAATGAGAGTTCAACGTCATAGTAACGCACTACTTGAAATCAAAACCTTCACTAGATATTTATTTTGATTTGGGTCTCTTGTCAATAGGTTCCACTGTTTCTGTTACAGTGAACGGAACTGGTGAGGTTGTGCTGAGATTTGTCACCGACGGTTCAGTGACAAGCAGAGGTTTTGTTGCTCGCTTCAACATCAGGATGGGTACGATACACTTCTGAATGTGTGGCTATGAAAAAGATATATGATCGAGTTCGTGAGTTCGTAAAAACCTTTCCAAAAGATTTACCATTTAATAACAAACTTCTGAATACGAAGATCATTGAAGATATGTGTTATGTCATCTCATGACTCATTACTGTGTGCATGTATTCACACACAAGTTATATTGGAGTCGTTTTATCTTTTTTCTTTTACATTTTACTTTACTTAAGAAAATGGAACATCTCCGAACACAACAGTGGCACCAGCCAACACGACCGTCGCACCAGGCAACACAACCGTCGCACCAAGCAACACGACCGTCGCACCAGGCAACACGACCGACGCACCAAGCAACACGACAGTCGCACCAGCCAACACGACCGTCGCACCAGGCAACACGACCGTCGCACCAAGCAACACAACCGTCGCACCAAGCAACACGACCGTCGCACCGGGCAACACGACCGTCGCACCAGGCAACACAACCGTCGCACCAAGCAACACGACCGTCGCACCAGGCAACACGACCGTCGCACCAAGCAACACGACCGTGGCACCAGGCAACACGACCATCGCACCAAGCAACGCGACAGTCGCACCAAGCAACACGACCGTCGCACCAGGCAACACGACCGTCGCACCAGGCAACACGACCGTCGCACCAGGCAACACGACCGTGGCACCAGGCAACACGACCGTCGCACCAGGCAACACGACAGTCGCACCAAGCAACACGACCGTCGCACCAGGCAACACAACCGTCGCACCAAGCAACACGTCCGTCGCACCAGGCAACACGACCGTCGCACCAAGCAACACGACCGTCGCACCAGGCAACACGACCGTCGCACCAAGCAACACGACCGTGGCACCAGGCAACACGACCATCGCACCAAGCAACGCGACAGTCGCACCAAGCAACACGACCGTCGCACCAGGCAACACGACCGTCGCACCAGGCAACACGACCGTCGCACCAGGCAACACGACCGTGGCACCAGGCAACACGACCGTCGCACCAGGCAACACGACAGTCGCACCAAGCAACACGACCGTCGCACCAGGCAACACAACCGTCGCACCAAGCAACACGTCCGTCGCACCAGGCAACACGACCGTCGCACCAAGCAACACGACCGTCGCACCAGGCAACACGACCGTCGCACCAGGCAACACGACAGTCGCACCAGGCAACACGACAGTCGCACCAAGCAACACGACCGTCGCACCAGGCAACACGACCGTCGCACCAAGCAACACGACCGTGGCACCAGGCAACACGACCGTCGCACCAAGCAACACGACAGTCGCACCAGGCAACACGACAGTCGCACCAAGCAACACGACCGTCGCACCAGGAAACACGACAGTCGCACCAAGCAACATGACCGTGGAACCTTCCGACGAAACGACATATGGTAGGTCATTGTCACCTTACACACAAATAAAGCCTTCATCTGTAATGGATATTCATCGTCTAAATATGTAGAACTTTGAAGATGGACACATTTAGCTGCTAAATAGATAGTGGGTGGGAGCAGTGGGATCTCGTAAATATGTTCGTTCACGTAGAAGAAAAAGAATTTCGTTTCAGCAACTGAAATATTAAAAGAGAAGTAAAGGCATCGGCTATCTTATGATTTTCTAAATGCATATTATTTGCATTTTCCGACAAACCACAGAACAAAGTTTAATTCCTTGATCAGGATGTTGTTCTTTATGGAAGCTTGAAGTCATACGGTTCCAGCACAATACTATTATGATCATAAACAACCCGAGAGTCATGTAAATGTTTTTGTGTGTGTTTTTATAATTATTTATACTTTCATAATAATTTCAATATTTCTGCCACAGGATTTGGGCCTTGTCAATATATCCCACAAAGTTTGACTGTGTTATTTATAGAGGAAAGAAACTCACAGTTCTGCCTCCAGTTGTGCTGTTACATGCATGAAGTCAACTTTATTTAGAGTTGCACAAGGAAAACATAGATGACAAGAGCAAGGGTTTGTCCCCAAAGTTACTTCATTTGAGGGTTGGCAAACGTGTTTTATGATGCAAGTTCCCATCTCTCATTGCAGCCTGCAACTACGACACTGCCTCCCTGGAAGGAAGAATAGCTCTAGCAACTGACATTGATGGTTTCTACGCAAACAACGAAGAGTGCCGCATCAATCTATATTCACCTGCTCTTCCCCACGTGACCACGGTCAACTTCACACGCTTTGATGTTGAATATAATAGCAACTGTCGTTACGACAGCCTGTCAGTGAGGCTTGGAAACAACACCATCGACCCACTATGTGGAAACAACAGAGGTCCCTTCGTGAAGCAATGTAAGCACACTGCAAGCGTTAATATCAATGTTAACACAGGTACATTAGTACATTTATGCAAGTGTCTTCTGATATCGCCTTTTAGCATATGCATATTTGTGTCCCCCGCTCTGATATACTTGAGATTACAGAAACAAGATTTTTCACATCACTTTTATAAATTAAACTCCTCTTTTATCTGATAAAGATTTCTATAATCCAGACTCTAACGCAGAACCACTACTCGCCATGACATTCGTCAGTGATTCGAGTGTTTCGGGTCTCGGTTTCGCCTTCGACTACCAGACGGAAGTAGGCAAGTACAACCTTCGCATCACATACGTAATCAGTGATTATTAATAAACCATTTACATTAACGTATATTTATCATTGTATCACGCACCATTCAGACCATTCAGATGAACAAATACTGTGATCATTTAAAAATGGATTGCTGGGACGAACTTTCAAGTTGATTTCATCTCAGCCAAACAGGCGAATATCACCTCACAAGCATTATTCCGCTTTCCTCCTTGGGATTGCACTTTTGATAACCCCAAGCCCTCATTAACAGGAGAGACACTTGTTTGACCCCAAGATCCCAAGCTCAGTTTCGTCTGGTCAATGACACTAAACTGAGGACATGAAACTAATTTTAGGGTGTTCTGCCTTTTTATCGTATTCAGAGTACTGTAATGCTGTGATCAATGGTACATCCGGGTCATTCGCAACTCCCCCTGGTGGCTACAGTCCCAACATGGCTTGCACATACACCATCAACACCCCCACGCCAGCTGAACTGCACTTCACCTTCGAGGAATTTGACATTGAGAGTGCAAGCAGATGCATGTACGACGCCGTCACCATGGGCGAAGACAGACTGTGTGGAAGCAACCCCGGCAGCAAGACATACCGTGAGTGTAGCTCACCTTCCACCTCTGTAATTTCTGTTACATGTTTATCATTTCTGCTTTCCGTTACCTTGAAACAAATGATGAACAAGAAACACTAACATAGAAACAGTTATAGTTAATTTGAAGTATTTTGAAATTAAAAATAAAAAGCTAAAGCTAGCATACTTTCACATATGAATTTCTTTCTGTAAAACCTGTATTAGTACTTCCAGTAACTTTATGTTTATTGCTCCTCAGAATCTGATGGAACCTTTGTGATCACCTTCACATCTGACGGCTCCGTGCAAAGGGAAGGTTTCTACGTGTCCTTCACATCATCGCCAGGTGAGCTTCGCACATATACTAGTAAACAATATGGATCCGGTAATACAAGTTTATTTGTATGGAAGTGCCCATAAATTCAAGTCTTAAATATTATTTAACCAATTGTTTGGTTTCAAAAACGTAAACATAAAACTATCTTTACAAATTGTGGAATCCACAATCAAATTTATTGTTTGATGTGGTTTTTTTGGTAAACAAGATACACTGACACATACTTTTTAACTGATATTCCTATTTTCTTTTACGCAGTGGCATAAACAGACTGACCTACGCGGCGAGATCTAGTTGACAACAATATGAGTAAATAAACTCCATGTGCTCTAAATTTATATTTCATCTCATTATTTCAATGAGTGACTGACTGTGTGAGTTTGTTTTTATGACGCTTTGAACTGTAAATTAACTCATCAGGACGTGGCATACGGATGCGACGAATAGTCTTTCGTCTATATGCCGCAATTCGCTATGCAGATTTGTGAACATTTGTTGCACCAGAGACCTCTGATCGTCGGTTCGAATCCAAGATTCACCCTGATTATGTTTCTAGTGTTATGTTTCTTGTGTGTATCACCACAGAGGCAAACGTCTGAGACCTGCCTCACTTTGGGTTTTCTGAACACAAGAAGCTGACACGCCGTGACGTAGCTGAAATACTCTTCAAAGCGGCGTTAATACCAACTCATTCACTCAATCGTAAAGGCTGTACATATGTTATAAGGCTCTCTTCATCTTTCTGATATTGGAGAGTCCATCCATGGGCCTATTGAAATTTATTGTGAAGTGCACTATATGAAAAAACAGGTGCTTCCGTAATGGCAAAATATCCATGAGGATAGGCCCAGGAGACGAACTCTAACACGGACCGCCAATTCCTAACACGACACCTTGATGACGTCCGCTGATTGGTATGTATGACGCCTCTATAGTTGGGCCTGATAACGTTCCTTCACGATTTCGTCATGCTCTGTGTGCACGTATTTCAACACCTAAGCCCACATGTACAGAACAATCTTATTCAAGCGATCTTAGGCGCCTGCAATCAACTTGACAACCACCGTTCAACTATCCTATTCCACTTGCACAAACCGATTGTAAGACGGCTTGGATTTAAGATCGAAATCCTTAACGGTGGAGGTACGATTATGTTTAACTCGACTCCTGCCTACAGTTGTATGCAAACGCGCAAAGGTTGCTGCGCATAGCAATGGTGGAACCCGTTACGACACACAACACGCACCTCTCTCCATCGCTCCTTGCGCAGTTTTTCAAAAGGTTCAAATTATTTGATCGAAACGATTAGTAGAATGATGGCATATAGGTGTTTATTTGTGGTGAAATACCTACCCATGTTTTGGAAATATTAAAATAAGAATAAATACATCCATATTTAGTAACAAAATCATTGTGATTTTTTTTTTTTTTTATAGCAATATATCCTTATAACATGACCCGTTAATGTATGATCGTCAAATGGTTGTCATCAGGTCACTATTTAATGCGGGTCTATTTGCGGGAAGGGTATTTGGTAAAATCCTAAATATATCCTATATGTATAGGTAATATATTAATATATCGAGAAAGCATTGTGTCATATGTACTGGATATTAATTATTTAACAATATTACATTGATGCTTGTTTTTAAATAGTTGTATTACAAACATTTCAAATGTCCCTTTATGTATATATCCTTGTTAAATAGATACTTTTACGTAATATTCATATTTTAAAACCGATCGTCTCTTGTCCCACTGTAAGATTTAGCACTTCAACTTGTATTTAAATGTAGATCACAGTACAAAATTACTGACAGGAATGTGACCAAAAGAAGTATAGGCGGAGGTCAGCGATTTTACAACAATAATACATTAGGCAAGGTAGATTTGTCTCTACGGGGGGCATATACAAAGGAAAACCACTCCCATCTAGAGTATAAACTAAGATTATCTGCCCTTGTTATCCTAAAGGTCACGGACATTACAATAATCACTTGAGGACCCCTTCCGTTTTTATCCTTCTGTGGTGCGTTCTTCGTGTTGTTGAAATGCCCATTCGGATGTAAAAAGGTAAAGCAGATTATTTTTATGAAACGAAACCCTTTCATACACGCCATTTTATTCATCAAGTTAATTCAGTGGCGACAACGATATTAGCTACTTAACCTTGTTCCTGACCAAGTTCCGATTGTAGCTTACAGTGATCTTAGCCAGCAATCGCTTTGTGCAACTGGATGGCGATTGTAGCCGAAGATTACTATCGCGATTGTAGTTATTTACAATTATTGCAGTGCTGAGATTGTTTTGTGCAAGTGGATCCTGGTAACGTGATGTTCGACTCGGGCTCGCTCGTCGCAATGTACACATTTCAAAATGAACTTTATGCACATGAGCACAGTGAGTGAGTGAGTGAGTTGGGTTTAACGCCGCTTTTAACAGTATTCCAGTCATATCACGGCGTGTCAGCTTAATGTGGGAGAAAAGCCCGAAGTGATGCAGGTCTCAGACGTTTACCACTTCGGTGAAACCCACGAGCACGGGTATGGTCCTGACAAACCTAGAAACATAATTGGGGCGAACCGGGATTCGAACCCACAATCAGAGGTTTCTGGCGTGCCCAAGGGACGCAACTCTGCACAGCGAATCGCGGCGCCTTAGACGACTGGGCCACCCGTGCCCCCCTCATGAGCACAGAATGCATCCTGTATAGAAACCCAATATAATCAACATCTTGCAGTGGGTACTGAATTGAACAAACACATGTACAACAACCTTAGTTTTAAAAGGTACCTTGAAGGTTTTCAGATTTTACATACTTTGCAATGTGACGTAAGACTTATCTTGATACACGTGCAGCTTACATTCAACATGTAGCCCAATGATATATGACTTATCTTGATACACGTACAGCTTACATTCAACATGCAGCCCAGTGACATATAACTTATCTTAATACACGTACAGCTTACATTCCACATTCAGTACAGTGACATATGTCTTATCTTGAAACACGTACAGCTCACATTCAACATGCAGCCCAGTGACATATAGCAGCCCAGTTGAGTAGGCTATGCGGGAGAGAGTGAGTGAATGAGAGAGGGAAAGAGGGCGAGAAGGGTGGCTTACTAATAGAGTAGCGGCCAACCCTTAAAACGAAGCTGATTTAAGGAGTAACCCCTCCCCACAGTAGAACAAAGCACATCCACATTTTTCTTCACAAGATGTCATTAATGCATTAGAAAACGATGGTTGTGGTGATTTCTTTTGGTCGCAGACATGTATTTAGGTGGTAAAATGCATATTTGTGTCTAAACAAGTCAGTTTGCATATTGCAATGTTCATTTTATAAGCAAAATCAGTGTGCTGACTTAGGAAACCTACGAAAAAACATTTAGCAAAATTTTTAACGTCGAGTTATGTGCCAAAATGTGTCAAAAACAGGATAAAATACTCAATTTTCATTTTCAAAAAAATTCAAAACTAAAGGTAATGTTAACTCCATATTGACAACTATGTCGTGTGATAGCTCAAAATCTGCCTGAATGCTTTATGAACTTAAAAAAATATCCACAATTAATGTAGGTATAATATAATGTATGAAAATTTAGTAAATGTGCTCCGGTCCCCATCCTGTGAAGGAAACAACAGATAACAACATAGTTTAAAAATTACACCAATGTTTTTTATTTGAACACATGAATCGTTTAAGTATCTTACATATATGAGCTTAAGAAATTTGATTTATCCAATATGGCGGACAAAATGGCCTCCAAGATGGCCGCCAATACAGGAACATGATACTATTTCGTCTTCACTTCGGAATGTATGAGAACTTTAGATGTCAAAATTTTGGTTTCGACCAGGAACTCCATCTAGCATGTATAAGATATTATCGCCTGTGTTATGTACTATAATTGCTGATCATATTGACTTACTTTGAAGTGTCAATGTGAAGCACTTATATGCTCACCGTAAAAGGCGACTATGCTTGTCGTAAGTGGCGACTAACGAGATCGGGTGGTAAGGTTCGCTGACTCGGTTGATGCATGTCATCGTATCACAATTGCATTGATCGATGCTCATGATGTCAATCACTGTATTGTCTGGTCCAGACTCGATTATTTTACAGTCCGCCTTCATATAGCTGGAATATTGCTGAGTGTGGCGTTAAACAACAAACAAATAAACAAACAAACAAACACTTGTCAATTTTGTCAGAAACTCTTTACCAAATCCATTATTTTTCTCCAATGCAGTAAGATACATATAGTCTCTGCCACCACTGCACTGTCACTCAAGCCTCAGGTTCAAATGACATGTGATCTGTCACTGCAGATGAGATGAGTCATATATCTGCAGCCATATTGTCGTCTGAAACATGGCTCTCAACATGTGTTGCTTGAAAGCATTTTCTATAGGTGGAACTTCTTCAACATTTAATCATGTGTCAGCAATGTCGAGAAAGCTGTCTTCTTGGAATTTATAACCAGTCTTCACCATAAGAATATCATGTTTCACAATGTTCTTCTAGATCACACTTACCAGCGTGTAACTGACTTTCACGACTCACTTAGGAGATAAATATTTCGTTTTGTAAGATTTGCGTAATGTTATGCTGAATGGATGTACGGAAATTTCATTTGAACATTCCGCCTTACGGCGTCGTGTTCAAATGAAAAAAATTCGTACATCAATGCAGCATAACATCACGCAAATCTTACAAAACGAAATATTTATCGACATTGTAACATGAACGTTAATTTAAATCGATATTTAGGAGGAACTAATTTACTGAGCGCATGACACAACAAAACTGTCGTTAGCAATACGTCTCCTCGTGCTCAACTTCGAAAAGATGCATGTTATGGGGTGCCGCGAAACCGATCAATGGTTTCGAGGTACTCCAATAATGATGGTTCGTTTTACGAAAGGGGTGGTCACATGTTCAAGCCCATTTCTCAGAAAAGAACAAACAACAGGAAATATCACAAATTCAATTCTTTATCACAGTTCCTCATCTTACTTGAAATTTGTAGTTATGCGTATCTATGAAATACAAATAAACAAAATTAGAAAAGACGTACATACTGTTTGGCCCCTATAAAAGATAGTGTCAACTCGCCTGAGACTAAGGTGGTGACAAGAGACGTCAAACATGTGCGAGATTTTAGACATGCAGCTTAGCTGGGATGGAAAAAGTTTACTGTTACAGTGGAATTACATATGTGAAAGAGACCATGGGAATTAGCAGAAAAATTAACCTGGAAGTTATTCACGGGAGCAGTGGACAGTGGCAGGATATTTGTATCTTGGACAGGAACCAAATTACGTTCGTTAGCGAGCTGCTGCTGTCCCTGAAGAATGTTCGAATAATGTCGTCTTTGAGCCGAGCTCGAGTCAATGGAATACGACTTCAACGATTCATCGGTTTTGTGGCCGGTAATTTTGCAAATCTCGCGATTTTCAATACGTGCGTTAGACAGCAAAGTGACGGCAGTTGCCCGAAGACAATGGTTTGTATACACTTTGAAACCAGCGTTGGTAGAAATTTCTTTCATCATGTTGCCAATGACATTTACACCAACTGGCCTCGTGGTGTACCATTCGGTGTCGTCGACATGGACTCGTCTCTTGCGAGCCTGGTAAAAAGCACCATTGCTGTGATTGAGGAGAGCCTGGTAAAAAGCACCATTGCTGTGATTGATCGTCATTTTTTTAAATGAAAGTACAGGACAGAATTGGTCCGATGTTGCATAAATGCATTTGTTGGGCCCATTTGAGTCTTTGAGCCCCCCCCCCCCCCCCCTGTGATTTTTAGTGACTTCGGAGTGTGTCATTTCAATAAACTCGAACCCCTGTTCATCAGTGGATACACGAAAGGAAGATGCAGTTAATTCCCTTTGGTTTTCTTTACCACGACGAGCGAAACCGAGTGTGAGGTCGAACCACACTTTACGAAGCAAACCGGAAGGAGTTTCCGTATCCAAACTTTCACGAATTATTTTTAAATCATTCTCGGGGATGGCAGCATGATGTGTTGTCTGATCAAGGCCATCGCGCTTAAGTTTTTTTATCATGGACAGAAAAACATTGTCTTGGATAATGTTTATGCTGCGCTCAAATGGCGGTCCCCTGATGTGCCCGTGCATGGAAGCACGCAACCCAACAAAACTCGATTTTGAGTAAAGATCTCCCTCAGCATTTCTGACTTCGGCATAAAAGAACCTCAGTCCCTCATTCAGTTGAAAAGCAGGAAGCTCTTCGAACTTGGGTTCAAAACCTCGGAAACCAAGCCATTCTGGAAGTGAAAAGATTGCCTTTTTCGGGGTACAAATGTGACAGTAACTGGGAGTAATTTGTTATTATTACAGCATTGTGTTTGAATGAAATTTCCGTATATTCCGTTTTGCATAACATATCTCAAATCTTACAAAACGAAATATTTAATTTACGTTAAGATTTTGGTCAATCTCGTTATATTATTGCCAATTTTTGCGATGACACATTGGTCACGCTTTACATTGCTATCATGGCAATGGTGTAAGGGAGGTAACTCGCTGATATTTTTGGTATGTGTTTATGTATTCTTTAATGTTTCAATGGCTTACGTCGAAATATTTTAACTCCCCAGGAGGTATTACGCCCAGTAGATTTGGAGAGGTGCCCATCCACGATGTCCTGTACTGCTTTTGCATCAGGGGACGCGAAACGGTCACTGGACGCTTGAACTTTGGGCTCTACGGAAACGCTGGCTGTATTTCCTAGTTCAGGGGCCATCTCAGAACGGTTTTCAGCTTCAAAAGCTGTTGTGAGTAATAATAATAACAAAATTAGGTGCGTGTATGAAAGTCATAACTATACTGAACAGCATTGAAACGCACCACCATGAAAATGGATGTATCTTTACCCGGGCTTAAGTCATATGAAAATATATAAGTGAATGAGTAATATACGAGGTTCTGGACGAAGCATGAATAAGAACAGCTCGTCAAAACACATTCCTAAAGTATTTGTGAGCGAAATCGCCAAAACGCACACATCATGGAAAACGTGTTTTGTTTCACGGGAAGCAAGCAGAATAGGGCTATAAAAGACAGACTTTTAAAAGCCACATCACTTGTTGCTGCAGACGTTAAGGGTACTGACACAAGAAATGCCAAGATTAACAGCAGAGGAACGTGAACGTGCCTTGGGCATGCTTCAAGTTGGTACGTCAAGTAGAGTCGTTGCACAACGGTTTCAATGCCATCATTCAACTGTCCCCAGGCTACTGAGCAGATACCAGCAGACAAGAACCACCAGAGATCGACCACGTCCGGGTCAACGTCGTGTAACTACACCACGTCAAGATCGCCATATTGTTCGTCAGTATCTTCGTGATCGTACACTTTCGGCTACCAGGACAGCAGCAACCGTACAAGACCGACGGAATTGATCAGTGCTGACACCGTACGTCGACGTCTCCGCTCAGCAGGGCTACGTGCTCGACGTCCATATGTTGGACCCATACTCACTGATCGACATCGAAATGAACGTCTGTGTTGAGCCAAAGGCATCGTCATTGGAGATTGCGGCAGTGGCATGGGGTGTGCTGTTCTCTGATGAGTCCCGTTTTCATTTACGGAATGCTGACGGTCGACTGCGAGTGTGACGTCGACGTGGAGAACGTTACCACAATGACTGCGTTGTACAGACAGATCGATGGGGGGGGGGGGGGGAGGGAGTGTCATGGTGTTGGGCGGCATCAGTCATAACCATCAAACAGAGCTCCATGTTTGTCGTGGATGAGTTAATACCCTTTGCTACAGGAATAACATATTGACAAATCACGTCATCCCATTCTTTCATCAGCACCAGGGTATGCACACCTTCCAGCAAGATAATGCAAGAGCGAACACAGCACGTGTTTCAACACAGTACCTGGCGAAGAATAATGTGCCTCTGCTTCCATGGCCAGCATTGTCACCAGATCTATCGCCAATTGAACATCTAAGTGATTACCTGGGTCAACGCCTCTCACGTCGTCCGCAAGTACAGAACCTGAGAGAACTTGAAGATACACTCTGTCAAGAGTGGAATGCCCCAGAACACTATTCGCAGACTTATTCGATCAATGAGAAGACGTTGCATGGCCTGTGTTGCTGTCAGTGGCGGACATACCAGATATTGACTTTTCATTTTAACCCTATGTGTCTTCCTTACACTGATGACGTAATTGTAATTACTGTGTGGTATTCCTGTTTCCTTTGTCGTCTTTCTTAATAATCCGCCTATGTCTGTTCTAATCAAAATCGGTCATTGCTCAAGTTGTTTTTGTAATATTTCAAGATTTATTGCTGGTGCGTTTTCAATGCTGTTCAGTATATTATAGAGTTGCAATAAATGTTTTTTTACTGTTAAAAATTGATTTTGTTTTGTTTTTTCCTTTGGCCAAGCCCAAGAAAATTACATCCATAAGATGGATCCACTGATCGTAAGTTCCAACCCTGGATGACCTCCGATTCTGACCCCTGGTCTCTGTGACGCATCTCTGTGCTCGCGGGTTCCACCAAAGCGATATTCTGAAATAATGCTAAAAGCAGCGTTGAGCCCACATTACTCACGTCAATTAAGCCTGGTTATTGGGACTTTGAAAATAAAATATCGTTAAGTCATAACCCAGTGATTTTCTTCAGTGGCTACCCGTTGTTATACCATGGAGATCGCACAAAGTAACCAATGGAGTGAAACATGCACAAACCGCCTGTAAATACACGTATTCCGTGTTCTCAAAAACATTTCGTATTTGAAAAATAATTACTTTGCATCAAATCCTGATGCTATTTCATTAAACAGGGGGGGGGGGGGGGGGGAGTAGCCTCGTAAGAAAACCATACGCAAGTTTTACTTTTCAGTTATCAATAATAACTTTTGGGCATACCAGTATACCTTGTACATGAATCAGACATGCTAGAATACACAACAGCTAGCTACATGTATGTTACATCCAATTTGTAAAACTTTAAAATAAAACAGTCGGGAACACATTAGAAAAATACCACCCTTCTTCGCATATCTGTCTTTGGCAATCAACAGAAGGAAGATATATGTCTCTTCTGTCGTACTGAACATACTTTTACTTAAGGTTATCACGTAGTCACCACGTGATATTTTTGCTGATTGTGAACACCTTGAACATATCAATATCTGTAGAGTTATGGTATGTCAATAGTGACTATCAGCGTCTGTGATATCAAATTCTGCAGATGGTCCTGTTGGTAGATATGTTAGCAGATTGCCAGCAGGTGAACACACAATTAGCACTTATTTTAAAAATGTACGTGTCTGTATGCTATAAGTTTCTGTATGTCGGAAGCTACCCACATTAGGGCCATTACTGAAAATCAATATGATTCTTTAATTGTTGAAGCTCTGAGACTATATAAGTTTCAGCAATTGTCTGGAGGTACAGAGTACATTAAGATGTCTCCACGTGCAGTGATCAGCTTGCTGGTGGTTTGCCTCTGTCTGGCCTCCACAGAAGGACGAGCATTCAAAGTAAGTGTAGTACACGGCAACTTATCTAACGTTGTACCGAATGCCATGATTTACACATTAACTGTGTTACTGTCCTCTTCAGTACAACTGCAGTTGATCGTCATTCAACTCATAGCTTACTATTGTTGGTGTCAAACAACAGTACGCCAGTTAGAGAGAGCAAAATATACCATCTTTCAAGCAACGATATATAACTGTAACAATATGAAAGAATCGGGTGTTTTTCAAATTCGTTTGAGTAGTATTGGTGTACTTAATCTAGGTCTCTATTGCAGAACGAGACACATTAAATCACAGTTCAGACTTATGTCATATATATAAGTCGTGTTCGGCTAAAAAGATACAGATTTCTGTGCTGTTAAAACGTTTATGGCGTAAATTCACTGTGTGATATTTGGCAATGTCATGAGATCATACTGAGGTTATCAAAACCTGTTGAATATACAAACCATGCCGTAATGGAGTCTAAACATATCGACAGTAAATATATTCTATTTTTCTCCAACAGAATGAGAAAGCACGGCTGAAGCGACAAGCTGGAAGCAGTAAGTTCAAAGTTTTAACGGGTAGTTAAAAAATAAAAACGCAGCTAAAAAATGAAATGCCATCATATATCCTAAACTGCTTGTTCCTATCTATCATTGATCGAGTTTTGATAAATATGTACCTATTGTACAGTTGGGACAAGAACACTGCATTTTCACTTCTGAAGGTCGCAAGTCGTATCATGTGATGCAAAGAAGCTGAGGAAGCATTTCAAATAGTGGTCAAAAATCTATGTTAGCAGTTACAAAGCGTCATTAGTTGGCCGATTACGGTTTCTACATTTCAATGTGGTTATTTCACACAAACAAAACTGAAAACGAAGAAAGTTACAAAAATAATTTCAAGGTGTATGTATTTCATTGCTAATGAATTTTGACCAATTAGTTCTTAGTTTGATATCTGGCCACATATTGATGGATAAGATGTGTACCTATATTAATACATCAAGTGTATAACCATGAACGTGTTTATGATATCGTTCAATAGGGACCTATCATTCATGGGTATTTTAACTGATGATGGACCTTGCATTTGAAAGAGAGGTACAACGAATACTAAGATATACATGAAGACCAGCACATATTTTGATAACATATATGTTCAGTCCGTATATTATAATGTGTTCACATAATCTTCCATGATGTTCAGGATGTGTTGGGGGCGTGAGGGAAGATCTCATTGGAGAGATAGAGTTTGGCTCTGGTCAATACCAAAACAACGAAGACTGCTGCTTCGAGCTCCGTCCTTACTTTGGCGGTTCTTTCACGGTCGATCTGGAGTTTAGTGTCTTTGACATTGAGCAAGGTCCTCGCTGCAGTTATGACTCTGTTACCTATGGAACAAGTGACGGTATTACCGAGATCGACTGTGGCACGAAGGATGTCGGATACATTAGATCGTGTAAGGAAGCATATATTTTCGTTTTGTTTGTTTTTTCTTCTCTTTGTTTTGCAAAGTGATTAACGTACAAATGACTCTGTCGTCAACGCAACACGTGCCGGCAGTATACCTCCAGGATATACAACAATGGCCCACTTTTACCATATACGTTTTATATGTTCAAAGTACCTATATTTATAATGACCATATAAATACTTGTTTATAAACAATACGTAATTCCGACATAGAAACATTACACAGACCTATCAATCTACCAACTGGTTTTTGACTCAACAACACAACATCGCAACAACAATAGACATCTTGTATTATACTTGAAACAGCAACTTACTTAAAAATGCGTGATTGAACCATGTTTGCGTTTCAGTCAACAGCACGGACAGTTTCCAGTTGTGTTTCCATAGTGACGGCTCTCAAGTTGGTCGTGGCATCAATGTCTTTTATATGACTATCCCAGGTGTGTACAGGTTCGGTTTAAGAATGCAAAACAAATTTCAGCTTCCATTGTTTTGACTGAGTGCAAAAGATCTAGCGTCGAATCCCAAATATAATTATTTTTTTCATCGATACAGTACCTTCCCTGAACTATAGCACCACTCCGTCCTTGAACGTGACAGCCTCGCCTTCACTGAACTACAGCACCGCTCCGTCCTTGAACGTGACAGCCTCGCCTTCCCTGAACTACAGCACCACTCCGTCCTTGAACGTGACAGCCTCGTCTTCACCGAATTTTACCCTTCCCTACAACAATGCAACATCTTCTCTCAACACAACCGGAAATGAGACTCGTAAATATATTTTCATCGCTCTTTGATTTTAAGTCTACATATAAAACACAAAACGAAACGTTTTCCCTCCTCTCTGAATCAGTTGTATAAAGATAAAAACATTTGGAGCAAAAACAAAAAAACACATGTAACTGTTATTTCAGAGTCCTGCAACAGATATCTGACTGGCGAGAGGGGCAACTTTTCAAGCCCTAACTACAACCAGACCTACCCCAACAGACAGGACTGTGCGACTGTCATCAGCGGACTCACTGGGGACTACACATTGAGGGTCAACTTCACTAGGTTTGATCTGGAGAGTAATAGTGCCTGCAGATACGACTGGCTTCAGTTCAGCTGGGCTAACAACCAGACCGAAAAAGCCTGTGGTCACGAGTGGGACAACCGCACACTGGAATGTACGTTGCACTATTCCCTTTGTTTACTTGTTATTATAATGATACAACACACTATTATGATGTGCACAATAACGAAGTCACATTTACTGAAGAGTTGCCTGTACTGAAGTCAGATATGTTCCCTATTATAAGGCTATAACCATTATATATGGATATATATGGAGTACCCCGTCAAAACTATCCTATGTGCTTCAGTTCTGCCTCTAACCAATCCAGATGTCGATGCTCTCAACACTGGTTCGTTTATTTCAGTCGACGTCGACGGTGGTAACGTCACAGCAAGCTTCCACTCTGACGGCAGCGTTACAAAGCCAGGATTCTTTGCAACATACGAAATCAAGCCAAGTGAGAGTGACTTCATAACTCATTCCTCTGTTAGTGGGCCTTTAGATTTAAACTGATTGTAGGTCAGTTTTATAGTTCACATACTTTTTATAGGTACATTATAGGTATATGGACACATACGAAATCAAACCAAGTTTGTTTTAACGAACTCTGTACTTCTTTGTCATTGAGCCAAGCCATTATGTTATGTGTTGGTTGATAAAAACATCTGCGTTCAACGGCTCACTACGATGAGGCATTGCCTCCTAGACGATTAAGTAACATTTTCACTGCATTAAGTATATCAGTACAACAGAAGAAATTGCCTCATATAAAATGAAATAACATTTTCACTACATTAGGTATGTCAGTACAACAGAAGATATTGCTTCATAATATTTTGACTAGATGAAGCATTGCGGTACAACGAAAGACATCGCCTCATTGACAAAATTTTAACTACTGCCCCTATCTTCACATTCTGTATGGTGTTTGATTTGAACCGACAACAAATGTTAGTGAAAGCATGAAAACTAGTCTTCAAGACAAGATATTCGTCAGCGGGTTTAAACACAAACTACTACGTTCAGCCACAGGGAGGGACATGAGATTCTATATAGCATTTGAATATTCATTTGAATAAAAACAAAAAAAACTTTTCCATAACCATAAGAATTCAAATTCGACTGTTCGATTCCGACTACATCATAAATATGTATTTATGAACAACTACCAAATAGTGATGATACCACGTATTCGCGAAATGATGAGCGTGCCCTGCTTCACAGATGACACAAACACGTGCTGAGGCAAGTCAATTGTTCACCAGAAAAAATACGGGTATATATGATACAACTTAAAATAAGGAATTGCATCATACATCATTTTAGGAACTTACCTTCACATATCTCTCAAAAATCTTTTGAAAGTTTTACTGAGGCCTTGAATGTGGTATCTCGATCAAACAAACTTTGAGCAAGAGTCGTATGACGCTCTTCAAAATCTTCGGAGAAAGAGCATGCTCGATTGTACCTCAAACGTTGTGACATGTAGATACGCATTGGAATATTGCTCGACATAAGGAGACAGTTATTGGTAAGTTAAAGTCATCTCTCTTATCATAGTATTGTGAATACCGATTTTTTATGAATAGATCTGAATATAAAACAGATGAGGTGGTTTCACTGTTATCTTTTATTTCTAGCTCAGGTTGGCAAATAAGTGGAAAGGAATTTGCTATTTGACAGTTATTGAAAGATATGTGATCTTTTATATACCTGAAGCATAAGTTATACTTTTTGCCCAAATTTCCTTATTTTGATTTTGCCAATCTGAGCATAAATACTGACTCGAATGCATAACAAAAACAAAACAGGTCAGGTAATTTCGAGCATAACTGGTACCCACGGGAATGCCCACTCCTTGTCTAAATGTCCTATCCCTACATTTCACACATATGTCATATACATGTGTGAGGAAGACCAACATTTCATATGTGTTTTCTCAATAGACGTACGGTGAATCTTTAAGACAGGAATTAAGTTGTACATTTCCACGGCCATGATGAATTTTGCCCTTTGTACGGACTTTTATAAATACATTTAGATTAATTTCGAGTAATTTGCGATATGACTGTATTCTGAAATGACGAGTTGTTCTCGGCATGTTAACTTACCACTTGTACCATGCCCTTTCAAAACAATGCATGACAACATACATGCTACTGGGCTGATCTGCACTTGATAGAAGCCTATTTTGTGTTGTAGGGGGTGTTCCCAGGAGCCGTCGCAACTGCACCTTCACTACTCGGGCTGAGCACGGTATGATCCAGAGCCTGCCTGGTACAGGGGAGGACTACGAGAACAACCTCAACTGCAGCTATGTCTTCAATGTCCCCAGCAATAGTAGTCTTCACTTCAACTTCACCACCTTCGACCTCGAGGGCGGTAACGGATGTCCCTTCGATTATGTTCAGATCAATGGTGGACGAAGATGGTGCGGAAGTACCATTAACGGGAGGCAAGGTGAGCTCATAGAAGAGGTCAATATCAAATGAGAGTTCAACATGGTTGTAACGCACTACTTTAAAAACAAACTTTCACTAGATTCTTACCACAAGGATCTATGCATATTTATTTTCATTTGGGACTAGAAGTCTATTGGCAGTAGATTCCACTGTTACTGTTGCAGTGAACGGAACTGGTGAGGTTGTGCTGAGATTTGTCACCGACGGTTCAGTGAGGAGGAGAGGTTTTGTGGCTCGTTTCAACATCAGGATGGGTAAAGTTCTCTTTTTTTTGTATTAGGTTTGGCAATAATATATATTCACTTCTACTGTATAAATGTGAGCATTGATAATTAGTATTATTTTGGAGGATTTGCATGCTCCAATAGGACTGAATCTTTCATGCATCCCTTCAAACAGCAGTACGCTATAACTCTGCTGACAAAATAATTCATGTCAAAACAGGCGCTGTCAAAATGATGTCATAATGATATGTTTTCCTTCAGACAATGGAACATCACCAAACACAACAGTTGCCCCAGCCAACACAACAATCGTCCCAGCAAACACGACAGTCGTTCCACCCAACACAACTGTTGCCCCAGCCAACACAACAATCGTCCCAGCAAACACGACAGTAGTTCCACCCAACACAACAGTCGTTCCACCCAACACAACAGTTGTACCAGCCAACACAACTATCGTCCCAGCCAACACAACTGGAAATGGAAGCCGTAAATATCATACCACGTTTATGTATACGTATTAGTTTAAAAAATATTCTGGGAACTATATTGTCTGAGAAATATAAAAAATTCAAGTCTCTGATGGGCATTTAGAAGTCGGAAGAACATGAAGACATTCAACTTTTTGTGGATAACAACTTCTTTTATTCTTTGTAACGACCTTTCAGGATTATTCAGGTGGATACTGAATAAGCGTATTGAGTTAATATACATATATATATATATGCTGGCATGTGAATATTGTCTTCATGTAAACTATTCACTGAAATCAATGTTTGTGGAAAGACACTCCGTTTCTGTCAACAGGTTCATTGTAAAAGTTGTTTTCTTCAATGCTTACGATGCTCTAATGAATCATAGCCAAATATAGTGGTTACGTATCAAATTATATCTGTTTTACATTAGAATCCTGCAACAGATATCTGACTGGCGAGAGAGGCAACTTTTCAAGCCCTAACTACAACCAGACCTACCCCAACAGACAGGACTGTGCGACTGTCATCAGCGGACTCACTGGGGACTACACATTGAGGGTCAACTTCACTAGGTTTGATCTGGAGAGTAATGGTGCCTGCAGATACGACTGGCTTCAGTTCAGCTGGGCTAACAACCAGACCGAAAAAGCCTGTGGTCACGAGTGGGACAACCGCACACTGGAATGTATGTCGGCCTGGTTGATATGATACCGTTATTACTTTACACGTTAGCATTACAGTCACTTGTTAACGAAACGAAGTCAGTAGTAATGAAAACTTGATTAATCTAAGTTACGTAAAACAAGCAATTAATGATAATGAAGCACGTTTCTATAAGGAATAACCAAACTGATTTTGAAATTACTAAATGTGTGTTACATCGTAACTAGGGAGGAGTACGTGTTCTATTCAGAGCTATGTCATGTTCTACTCGTTCAGAAAATAGCTTTCTACTTATCCCCTAACGTTCATGCAGTCGCTCTTAGACTTTCAAATAAACCTTAGCTGCGAAGTTATATTCGACAGAATCTTACAAAGGATTAGAAATGTGGTGATAGTTTATTGTTCATGACCGACAGAATGAATGTGTGATTCTTTTCGTAGACATCGGTCTGAGAGTGTATTTTAATAAATCTCATGATCATGAAAGTGGTTATTTTTTATCTAACCTCCCTTTGTATCAGTGGCATGCATCTTTAGGTTCCATTCGTCGAAACATTCAGATCCTGCCAACAATATGAGTCTGTTTGTTTCAGTTGACGTCGACGGCGGTAATTTCACAGCACTGTTCCACTCCGATGGCAGCGTAACCAGGCCAGGATTTTTTGCCACATACGAAATAAAGCCAAGTGAGAAAAGCTTCATAATTCACTCCTCTGCGATGCGCAATGAGTTTTAAACTGATTGTAAGTCATGGGTTTTATGGGTAAAGGACATATTCAAGGAACTATTCGTCGATCATTTGTCGCCCCCCTACATTTCCATACACAGTATTATATACACAGTGAGGTAAAACGGAAAACACATACGTCAACCTAGGGAGAATGTTTCATTTGTTCTTGATGCTAAATTGACGAGTAATGTCAGTGAAGATTATGAATGATACAGGTTAATACTTGACCCCACAATATATATATATAACTGCCGAGGCCGCTCAAAAAACGTCTATTCCCATGACAAAATATCCGTAAGCTCAAGTAGTTTGAAACTGTTATGGCGTTGAGTCTCGTGAAGCTGCCGTATATGTATATTTGAACACACGAGATGTAGTTCGAGTTACTTACATTGCCTCATAGAAAATGAAGTACCATTTTCACTACATAAAGAATGTCAGTACAACAGAAGATATTGCTTCATAGGCACTGCACTGATATTCTAACTATATGTTATTATTGTCTTCAGACTGTATTCTGAATCTTGCGGGGTGTAAACTACTTCTACCGTGCCGTTTCAGAAACGTTTTTAAAAAAATCAGATGAATGACAAAAGTATTTTTCTCTCTTTGTACGGAATTTAATGAATACATTAGACTTAATTCGCATAATTTACGATATGATTGTATTCTGAATTTACGATATGAACTTTGCATGTCAACTTACTACTTGTACCATGCCCTTTTAAAAAAAGTGAATGACAACGTACATGCTACTAAACTGACGGCCAAAAGAAATCGTTACCAACGATATTTCTAGGATAAAATTTGACCAACATAATTTGAAGCAGCAATAACAATTGTATTGTAGAAATACATCATTCAGAACAGTAAATTTACTAGTTCAACAACAAAGTCCTTGACCTCCAACAGGGACATTTCTTGACAAGGTGTCATTCGTCCAGCATTCGATCAACAACATTGGTTACAACTTTAAGGTGACGACGGCCCAGACCGTTCAATACAGGATATGACCTCCATGGGCGGCAATGCATCTTCGAATGCGGCGTCAAACTGAGTAGACAAGCGTCCTCACATCGACTGCAGGTATCCGATTCCATTCCTCACGGAGGGCAACGATCAACGCTTGTTTCGTGAAGGGAGGATGTTGACGTTTCCGAAGACGACGCCCCAGCTGGTCCCAGAGATGTTCTATGGGTGACAGATCTGGTGATCGAGCTGGCCACGGCAGGACAGTCACGTTGGCGTTGATGAAGTCCCCGGAAATCGGGCTTTATGGGGCGTGGCGTTATCTTGTTGGAACAACGTCCGTTGTTGACGCTGGATGAAAGAAAGAACCACTGGCCGTTAGATATTGTCAATGTAGCGTTGTGCTGTCAGATTGCCTTCGATGATGACAAGTTCCGTGTTCTCGTCCCCGCAAATGCCGCCCCAGACCATCACACTTCCACCCCCGTAAGGTTCCACCTCCTGGACACAACAACAACAAGGTACGTTCACCACGTCGTCGATAAACTCGCGTCCGCCCATCAGGTTAGAAGAGTTGGAACCTGCTCTCGTCACTTAACAGCACTCGCCGCCATTCCCTTTGTTGCCATCGCTGAGTTTGCCTGCACCACGTCAATCTGGCGCGTCGATGTTGACGGGTCAAGGTCATGCCCTTGAAAGGGCGATAAGCCCGGAGACCATAATGTCGTAGTCGTCTGGTCACTGTATGTCTGCTGACCGGATGCCCTAAGCTGTTGGCAGCTGATGACGTCACAGTAAGAAATCTGTTCCTCAGATGAAGTACCCGTAAAAAGCGGTCATCCTGCGGGGTCGTGGCCTTTGGTCTGCCACTCCGTGGTCTGTCTGCGGTTCTGCCAGTCTGTCGGAGATGTGCGACCAGTCTGGTAATGGTCATCTTGGAGCAGTTCATGTTAATGGCAACCGCTCTCTGTGTCGCGCCCATCTGCAGCACACCTATGGCTCTCTCCCTCTGAACAGCGGTCAGTCTTGGAATGTTCGTTAGTGTTAATAATCGCAATGATAGGAAACAGATCCGTGCGTAATTTAGACCGGGAAATTGCACGATAATTTGGGAAAGAATATTTTAAAAATTACTGAAAAACACCAATATCTCCCAAAATCCGCAAAGCACGTGCAAAGAACGACAGAGAACATGAAGGCTGTATTCGTGAGATGTGTTCTTTACTGTTTTTGAACAGGTTGGCATCTTTGTTTCAAAGTGGCAACTCAGTTAATGTTGGTAACGTTTCTTTTGGCCCTTAGTTTAGATGTTTTAGCTCTCTGTACTATCTATTGAAACCTATTTTTGTGTTTTAGGGGGTGTTCCCAGGAACCGTCACAACTGCACCTTCACTGCCCGGGCTGAGCACGGTATGATCCAGAGCCTGCCTGGTACAGAGGAAGACTACGAGAACAACCTCAACTGCAGCTACGTCTTCAGTGTCCCCAGCAATAGCAGTCTTCACTTCAACTTCACCACCTTCGACCTCGAGGGCGGTAATGGATGTCCCTACGATTATGTTCAGATCAATGGTGGACGAAGATGGTGTGGAAGTACCATCACCGAGAGGCGAGGTGAGCTCAAGTGGTCAATATCAAATGAGAGTTCATATTAACGTCGCTATAACACACAATTTGACCAGCGAGAACTTTCACCAGAGTGTTGAGTATTTTATTTAGTTTGGGACTGGAAGTTTCTCTCAGGTGGTACTGCTGTTGCTTTTTACGTTGTTTGTGCTGCTTTTACAGTGAACGGAACTGGTGAGGTTGTGCTGAGATTTGTCACCGACGGTTCAGTGAAAAGGAGAGGTTTTGTGGCTCGCTACAACATCAGGATGGGTACGATACACTTCTTAATGTGTGGGATAATGAATAATGGCTGGCTATGAAAAAGATATACAATCACTAAACATCAAGTTCGTGAGTTCGTTAAAACGTTGCCAAAAGATTTACCATTTAATAACTTATCACTAATGAACATGAAAATCATTGAGGACATGTTTCATTACTGTATGTAAGTTAAACTGGAGACATGTTTATCACTTTTTTCCTTCAAATGCTGCATTACTTCGAACATCTTCCAACACAACAGTCGCTCCTGCAAATACGACCGTCGCACCAGGCAACACGACCGTCGCACCAGGCAACATCACCGTCGCACCAAGCAACACGACCGTCGCACCAGGCAACACGACCGTCGCACCAGGCAACACGACCGTCGCACCAGGCAACATCACCGTCGCACCAGGCAACATCACCGTCGCACCAGGCAACATCACCATCGCACCAGGCAACACCACCGTTGCACCAGGCAATTACACCGTCGCACCAGGCAACACAACCGTGCAACCTTACGACGTAACGACATATAGTAGGTTATAGTCATGTTATACAAAAAATAAAGCCTTCAGTTGTAAAGATTATTCATCATCTAAATATATGTGGGACTGTGATGGGCACATTTAGATTTTCAGTAGATTGTTGAAATGGGAACAATGGGAATCTTGTAAATCCATTCATTCACGTCGCTTATTAGATGTAGAGACATTTGGTTTCAGCAAAAGAAATATAAAAAAACAAATAACAAATTGTTGAACTAAAGCCATCCGTTATATTATGATTTTGCATTTTCTGGCAAACACGGAAACATGTTTGTCTCAGACGCAGCCTTATTTAATGTTTTGATCAGGGTATAGTTCTTTATGAAAGCTTGAAGTCGTACGGTTCCAGGACAATGCCATTTGGATCGTAAACAAAACACGACTGGATGAGTAATGAAAACGTTGTTTGTTTTGGGATTTGTTCAATTATTCATACTTTCATAACAATTTCTATATATCTGACTCAGGGTTTGGGCCTTGTCAGTATATCCAACAAATTTTGTCTCTTTATGTGTTATTTTAAGAGGAAGGAAACTTATTTTTAATGATTCATAGTTCAAAGTTCTGCCTTCAATGGTGCTGTGACATGCATGACATAAAACAAAGACGACCAGGGCAAAGTTTTTTCTCCAAAGTTACTTAGTTTGAAGGTTTCCATTTGAGTGTTTCTGAAAGACGATTATAAACGTGTATGTTCCCATCTCCTATTGCAGCCTGCAACTACGACACTGAATCCCTGGAAGGCAGAATAGCTCTGGCAACTGACATCGATGGTTTCTACGCAAACAACGAAGAGTGTCGCATCAATCTATATTCACCTGCTCTTCCCCACGTGACCACGATCAACTTCACACGCTTTGATGTTGAATATAATAGCAACTGTCGTTACGACAGCCTGTCAGTGAGGCTTGGAAACAACACAATGGACACACTATGTGGAAACAACAGAGGTCCCTTCGTGAAGCAATGTAAGCACACTGCAAGTGTTAATATCAATGTTAATATATACAAAACACAGGTAGGTTAGTACAGTTTTGCATGTGTCTTCTGATATCGCCTTTTAGCTTATGCATATTTGTGTCCCCCCCCCCCCCCCCCCCCGCCCTGATATTTGTATACTTGAGATGACAGAAACAAGATTTTTCACATCACTTTTATAAATTCAACTCCTCTGTTAACTGATAAAGATTTCTATAATCCAGACTCTAACGCAGAACCACTACTCGCCATGACATTCGTCAGTGATTCGAGTGTTTCGGGTCTCGGTTTCGCCTTCGACTACCAGACTGAAGTAGGCAAGTACAACCTTCGTATCACATACTTAATCAGTGATTATTAATAAACCATTTACATTAACGTATATTTATCATTGTATCACTGAGATGCCCCAGAGACCATTCAGAGGAACAAATACTGTAATCATTTTAAAATGAATTGTTTGGACGAACTTTCAAGCTGATTTCATCTCAGCCAAACCATCGAATATCACCTCACAAGCATTATTCCGCTTTTCTCCTTGGGATTGCACTTTTAATAACCCCAAGCCCTCATTAACAGGAGAGACACTTGTTTGACCCCAAGATCCCAAGCTCAGTATCGTGTGGTCAATGACACTAAACTAAGGACATGAAACTACTTTTAGGGTGTTCTGCTTTTTTATCGTATTCAGAGTACTGTAATGCTGTGATCAATGGTACATCCGGGTCATTCGCAACTCCCCCTGGTGGCTACAGTCCCAACATGGAATGCACATACACCATCAACACCCCCACGCCAGCTGAACTCCACTTCACCTTCGAGGAATTTGACATTGAGAGTGCAAGCAGATGCACGTACGACGCCGTCACCATGGGCGAAGACAGACTGTGTGGAAGCAGCCCCGGCAGCAAGACATACCGTGAGTGTAGCTCACTTTCCACCTCTATAATATCTGTTGCATGTTTATAATTTCTGCTTTCCGTGACCTTCAAACAACTCATGAACAAGAAACACTAAAATAGAAACAGTTTTAGTAACTTTGAAATATTTTAAGATTTAAAATAAAAAGCTAAACCTAGCAAACTTTCACATATGAATGTCTTTCTGTAAAACCTGTATTAGTACTTCCAGTAACTTAATGTTAATTGCTCCTCAGAATCTGATGGAACCTTTGTGATCACCTTCACATCTGACGGCTCCGTGCAAAGGGAAGGTTTCTACATGTCCTTCACATCATTGCCAGGTGAGCTTCGCACATATACTAGTAAACGATATGGATCCGGTAATACAAGTTTATTTGTATGGAAGTGCCCATAAATTCAAGTCTAAAATATTATTTAACCAATTTCTTTGTTTCCAGAACGTAAATATAAAACTATCTTTACAAATTTTGCAATGCACAATCAAATATAATTTGGCAATTTTTTCAAATATATAGTTTTTTCTAAGCAAGATACACTGACACACACTTTTTAACTGATATTCCTATTTTCTTTTACGCAGTGGCATAACCAGACTGACCTACACGGCGAGATCTAGTTGACAACAATATGAGTAAATAAACTCCATGTCCTCTATATTTATATTTCATCTCATTATTTCAATGAGTGACTGACTGTGTGAGTTTGCTTTAATGACGCTTTGAACTGTAAATTAACTCATCACCACGTGGCATACGGATGCGCCGAATAGTCTTTCGTCTATATGCCGCTATTCGCTATGCAGAGTTGTGAACCTTTGTTGCACCAGAGACCGCTGATCGTCGGTTTGAAATCCAAGATTCACCCTGATTATGTTTCTAGACTTATGTTTCTTGTGTGTAACACCACACTGGTAAACGTCTGGGACCTGCATCACTTCGGGTTTTCTGAACTCAAGAAGCTGACACGCCGTATTGTAGCTGAAAGCGGCGTGAATACCAACTCACTCACTCAATCATAAAGTCTATAAGTATGTTACAAGTCTCTATTTATCTTTCTGATGTTGGAGAGTCCAGCCATGGGCCTATTGGAATTCATTGTGAAGGTACATACAATCCGCCATAGGGCACTATATGAAAAAACAGGCGCATCCACAATGGCAAAATAAGGATAGGCGTGGAGACGAACTGTAGCCCGGACCGCCGATTCCCAACACGACACAAACCGCAGATTGGCGTGTCTCCAGCTAACGCCACTACAGTTTGGCTTTATACCGTTCTTTCACGCTTTCGTTATGCTCTGTGTGCATGTATATGAACACGTGGGACCACATGTACAGAGCAATCTTAGTTACAAGCGATCTTAGGCGCCGAAGATCAACTTTAGAGCCACCATACAACTGTGTTATTCCACTTGCACAAACCGATCTTTGCACGATTGTCAGATGGCTTGGGATTCAGTTCGAATTCTTCAACGATGGAGATACGATTATCTTTAACTTGACTCCCGTCTACAGGTATCTGCAAATGCGCAAAGGTTGGTGCTTATAGCAATAGTGGAACCGGTTACGACACACAACACGAACCTCCTTCCATCGCACATTATAAAGTTTTACTAAAGGTCCCAATTATGTGATGAAAACAATGAGTAGGATGATGTCATGTAGGGTTTTTCTGTATTAATACTGCAGTGATTTGTGAATTTACATCACAACAAGAGAAATACCTACCCATCTTTCATGGAAATATTGAAATAGGAATAAGTACATGCATAAATTTGTCTCCAGGTTTAGTGACATAATCATTGTGAAAATTAAAATAAGCAGTTATAATGTTTCCTTATAACATAACACGTAAATGTATGATTCGCCAATTGTTGTTACAAGGTCACTAGTTTATACGCATCTATTTGGGGGAGGGGAAGGCTTTTCGTAAAAATCTAAATATATCCTATGTTTAGATTTTGCTGCTATAATAAAAGATGCTATGACTACTATGGGACTGTGAATGAAAGGGAAATAGGAATAATATATAATATTTCGGGAAAGCAGTTGTTTAATATATAATAACTAGGTATCAATTACTGGAACAAAATTACATTGATAATTTTATTTTATTTTAAATGTGAAATATGCTTTTGCTTTTTATAAATTATTTAACAAAAGTACAAATGTCATGTGTATGCCCTTGTTTGATGAATACCTTTATTTAAAATTCATATATTAAAACCGATCGTCACGGGTCCCACTGCGTGATTTTGCACTTCAACTTTAAATGTAGATTATTTTAATGATAAACTGAAGACAAATCGCAGACAGTAATGTAACCCAAAAGAAATATAGGCAGAGCTAAACGATTTTACAAAATTAATATATTAATTTACGCACTGCTAACATTCAACACGCAGCCAAATGACTCGTGACTTATTATCTTGATACACTTACAGTTCACATTCAACATGCAACCCAGTGACATATGACTTATCTCCATACACGTACATCTTACATTCCACATTCAGTCCAGTGACATATGACTTATCTTGATACACGTACATCTTACATTCAACAAGCAGCCAAGTGACATATGACTTATCTCCATACACGTACATCTTACATTCCACATTCAGTCCAGTGACATATGACTTATCTTGATCCACGTACAGCTTACATTCAACAAGCAGCCAAGTGACATATGACTTATCTCCATACACGTACATCTTACATTCCACATTCAGTCCAGTGACATATGACTTATCTTGATCCACGTACATCTTACATTCAACATGCAGCCCAGTGACGTATGACTTATCTCCATACACGTACATCTAACATTCCACATTCAGTCCAGTGACATATGACTTATCTCCATACACGTACATCTAACATTCCACATTCAGCCCAGTGACGTATGACTTATTTGATCCACGTACATCTTACATTCCGCATTCAGTCCAGTGACATAAGATATATCTGAATACACGTACAGCTTACATTCCACATTCAGTCCAGTGACATATGACTTATCTGGATACACGTACAGTTTACATTCCACTTTCAGTCCAGTGACATAAGATATATCTGAATACACGTACAGCTTACATTCCACATTCAGTCCAGGGACATATGACTTATCTGGATACACGTACAGTTTACATTCCACTTTCAGTCCAGTGTCATATGACTTATCTGGATACACGTACAGCTTACATTCAACATGCATCCCAGGGACATATGGCAGCCCAGTTGAGTAGGCTTTGCGTGAGAGAGTGAGTGAATAAGAGAGGGAAAGAGGGAGAAGAGTAGCTTACTAATAGAGTAGCGGCCAGCCCTTAAAACGAGGCTTATTTGAGGAGAAACCCCTCATCACAGTAGAACAAACCACAACCATATTTTTCTTCACAAGATGTCATTAATGCATTAGAAAACGATGGTTGTGGTGATTTCTTTTGGTGGCAGACATGTATTTTGGTGGTAAAATGCATATTTGTGTCTAAACAAGTCAGTTTGCATATTGCAATGTTCATTTTATAAACAAAATCAGTGTGCAGACTTAGGAAACCGACAAAAGAACAATTCGCAAAATTATTAAAGTCGCGTTATGGGCCAAAATGTGTCAAAAACAGAAAAAAAATTACTCAATTTTCATTTTCAAAATATTCCAAAACTAAAGGTAATGTTACCTCCATATTGACAACCATGTCGTGTGATATCTCAAAATCTGACTGAATGCTTAATGAACTTACATTAATATCCACAACTAATGTAGGAATTATATAATGTATGAAAATTTAGTAAATGTGATCCGGACCCCCATCCTGTGAAGGAAACAACAAATAATAACATACTTTGAAAATTACTATGACAATACTAACATTCTTGTACACCAATGGATAGGTGTACAATCACTGGATAGTCTGGTCTAGACTCGATTATTTTACAGTCCGCCGTCATATAGCTGGAACATTGCTGAGTGCGGCGTTAAACAACAAACAAATAAACAAACAAACACTTATATGCAACCGCTTCAATATTGTCAGAAACTCTTTACCAAATCCATTATTTTTCACAATGCAGTATATAAGATACATATAGTCTCTGCCACCACTGAACTGTCACTCAAGCCTCAGGTTCAAATGACATGTGATCTGTCACTGCAGATGAGATGAGTGATATATCTGCAGCCATATTGTCGTCTGAAACATGGCTCTCAACATTTGTTGCTTGAAAGCATCTTCTATAGGTTTCAGCAATGTCAGGAAAGCTGTCTTCTTTGAATTTATAACCAGTCATCACCATAAGAATATCATGTTTCACAATGTTCTAGATCACACTTACGAGCGTGTAACTGCCTTTCACAATTCACTTACAAATAAATTACAGAGAATACCCAGTCCAGTTTAACTCAGCTCAGTGTAATAATGCTGTATCGTCAAGTTACACAAGAATGTGAGTTCACACAATTTCCATAAGATCTTATCCTTATCATTATCTCAGCTAATGTTTACTCATCTAATATGATCTCTGTCTTCATATTAGAGGTGGGCACTCTCCAGCGACCCACCCAACCCTCTCTCTAACCCTCTAAACCATTTAAACAGTTTTGGTACTTGGTATATCATGCTCTGAGATGCTTGCAATACGACAACATCAATACCAAGCAAGAGCTTAAACATGTCCGATCAAATATGGACATTTCTACAATCCTTGCTCGACTCTTGCTTGCTGCTGTATTTCTCAAAGCAAAGTGATGAAATATTCAGATAATCAAGTAGTTAATGTCTAAATGTGTTTCGATTGGACATCGCACAACAGTTGACATTTCTCTTATGACTCTTCTAGACGTACCTCGTGGTGACTCGCGAGCGGGAGGGGGTAACTAATGAATGACACCAATAACTATATTCCACACTTTTCATGAACATGCTATGTTGATATTTTGGTATATTGAGCCCCTGACATGTGATAAATGTCATTAACGTGTAGAGTTAAAACACACAAATATTTTGTTCCTTTCAGCGACATAAATCCAAAGCTAAGTATGTTTAAAACCTATTTCATACCACATTATTACAGTCTACAAATGTCGTAACATCTTATAGACACGACCCTTAAAATTCAGTATTGCAGAACATAATAGAACAAAATATTTTTTTAAAGTTATAAAACGTCAACAACCAGGCTCGATTGTCCGCCAATACAGATTCCCTTGGGCGTAAAGCCAAAACAGTCAAAGCGAAAAATGATATGAATAGATCACTGAAAATCAGTGAAAAAGGTAAAAGTGTCCTGCCCTACCGGTAACACATGCCACTCATACAATTGTATGTTGCCTTCCATGCGACAGTTGTCTTTAAAGAAACCAGAGAGTCAAGTAATGGACCAGATAGATAGTCCAGTGACACCATTGTGCATTTACTGCTTTATGTGGAAACTAAAAACCGATATGTTAATTTTTTATTACGTCTGCCGTGAACAAGTTCAGAAGTGTGTTTGGGACGGAGCATGGCAACATAACCACAACATTGTTCTATGGCATGAGTAAAGATATTTCTCGGTTACATCTCGATCATATTCATTTTTTGTTACTTTTGACTACATTTGAAGTCTAGTCATACCGAACTGTACGCGTTTTGCGGTTTAAGTGACTTTCTCTTATGAA